GCTATAACTACATACAAAGCGCAAGGACTCACAATGAACAAAATCGTAGTCGATCTCCAAGTTCCGCCTGGGACACTGCAAGTAGCATCGATATATGTACCACTCAGTAGAGTGAAGAAAGGGGATGATATAGTTATCCTTCGACCTTTCGACATGAAGGTTCTGCAAGTTCAACCTTCTTCTGCGCAAGACGCTGAACTGAAACGTTTAGATGAACTTGACAAAAAGACGAAACGAGAGTGTACCTCTTTCATTTCTTGAAACATGTGTAAATCAATACTTTGCTAAGAGTCTAGTGTTATTGCAAGCATATAAAACGTATTATACTTTGAAATTACCTTAAAATAATTATTCATGCATGCTTATTTTCTTTATCTCTTTCTTTACATTTATCTTAAGTATTGTAGTAACTGTCTCTTTTCTCTCATTGCACCAGATATTGCCTATCGTGTTTTCTTAATTTCATTTTTTGATGTAATCATCCATAATCTTACTAACTGTATTGATATTTCTTCACAATATCTAATGCTCTATTTAACATTTAGCATAAATATCTATTGTTGCTTTTGTGAAAATATCTAATCTACACTGAAAATGAATTAATATACACAATAATAGCTTTAAAGTGTAATATCTGAAAGCACGATTTCTACGAGAAAGAGCTGAGCGAGTTGCAAGACGAGCGTTACTTGTTTGATTATCATAAGGCTTTTATGTAATCATTTTGAGTTAAAATAAAATAAAAAAGGTTGAAAAGTGCCTTTTCTCATTGAAAAAAAATTCCGTCCTCAAAGGGTTAATCCTTTTATCTTCAGTGTGGGACAAATACACTAATCGACCCCCCCCCTTTTTTATGATCTAGTCCGACTAATTAGCTACTGAGGAGTTCGTTAAAAGTATTTTCAATAGTACCAGACCCATCGGCGGGCCGGCAAAAAAAAATTCAGGGGGGGGGGGGACATAAAATAGTTTCGGATCCCTACAAAATTTTTTGAATCATTAGTACGAAAGGTATTTATTTTCTGCGGAATCCCAACATGTTTTCGTTAATATTTCTGGTGCTTCTCCTGGCAAACGTTTCGCTGTTATTTTGAAAACTTTAACTAAGTGCTATGTCATTCAAAGACTGTTTTGGTGACAATGATACATTTGAGAGATGATGATGATGTATATTCGATTTCAAATTAAGTCTAGTTTCATCCTTTTCGTATTCAATGCAATTTCAATACATATATATGACAACAAACGTATTAACTATAAAAGTGAAAAAGCAAAACGACTTTTCAATATGAAAATTGTGTTTTTCTGGTGTCGTTCTTTCTAACAAACTTTTCTACAATCTTATCGATATCAATGATTATGTCTCTCTCAATATGAACTAACGCCAGAGCAGACAAGCGTTCTTGATCCATTGTACTTCGTAAATAAGTTTTCAAGCGTCTTAAACACGAGAAACTTCGTTCGCATTCGCAGACGTTTACTGGAATTGTCCACAGAATCCGAAGTAATTCATTCATAGTTGGTAATGCGAGATGAAAACTTTTCTGAAGAAAAAACTTGGTAATCGACTTGATGTCCATGTTCATTGATTGTTGTTGATTAAGTGCTGTTTTGTATAATAATTGTTCGCTTTTGCAATCGGTGTAACTCAGTCCATAGAATGTAGTTAATTGCAAAATTTCATCAGATAAAAGTAAATTTTTCGTTAAGAATAGTCTTTCACATAAAACAACAATTTCAACGTTGTTTTCATCAAATCTATTATCAATAGCAGCTGTTACCTTTTCGATGACGGCAAAATATGAATTTACACGGTAATTATCTTTGAGTGAAAAATCGTCTGGAATTACATAACCACCGCCTAACTTTGCAGGAATTTTCCTTTTTCGGATTTTGACTTGATCATCAATATCATTAGCTTCACAAATATCAATCGTTTTCTTCCAAAATTCTTCAAATTTTGATTCTGTTCGTAAAGCTGATAGTGTTTCAATTGTAAGTTTCACATGAACTAATGCGCCACTTAACGAAATGCTTGAATGTTGCAAATACCTTGATAATATATTCGTTATCGAATATACTTCACTCATGATAATCAAATGAAAAATGAAATCCAATCTTTTAATTGTATTTAACATGATAAATCCATTACTAACTGTTTCCAGAGCATCGAGTATTTCTGAATATCGATTGAGTACTACAGTCAAACATTCCGATCGACACGTCCAGCGGGTATCACATAGTCGTTTCATAACGATTGCCTTCAATCCAGCTTGCTTTTGTACATCTTCAAATACATGATGACGCTTAGCGGATCCTTCAAAGAAATTGTAAAGCGCCTCGATGACACCGAAATTATTTCGAATCGGAACAATAGCCGACGATACATCGATCAAACATAAATTAAGCACATGACCATTGCAATGAATATAGATAGCTACAATTGAACGAAATATTATCCTACACAAAGTGATTCTTTGGTTAATCGATAACAAATTTCTTTTTTTATGAAAGCTAACTGTCACATCACATACCTTTTGATGCTAATTGTCTCATTCGAGCAGCAACACCTTTATATTCACCACGCATCGAACTGGCACCATCATAACATTGACCAACAATATTATCGATATCCAAACCAAGTCGTTTAATTCACGATACTAATAAGTTAAACAAACTCTCACCAGTTGTGTCAAAAGTCCGTTCGAAGCCAAGAAAACGTTCATAAACATTGAAGAAATCATCGACATACCGAATTACTAAAGACACTTGTTGATGGTTTGAGATATCAGTCGTTTCATCAATCATAACTGAAAAATATTTGGATTTCTTTATATCCGAAACAATTTGTTCAGTAATATTTTCTTGAATGGAAATTAATAGTTCATTTTGAATTTTATGATCAGTAAATTTCAATGAGGAAAGTTTTCTTTTAATAATATCATTGTCAGAACTACGGAGTTGAAGTAATTCAAGGAAGTTTCCACGATTTTCAGCTTCTTCATGTTCACGATGTCCTCGTAAAGATAAGCATTGTTTACCTAAAAAATTATTGTCCTGATAATTTCTTTCAAATAAAGACGATTTTCTTGAACTTGTTCGCAGAAATTTCGATTAATTTACATCAATACATTCGTGTTATTAATTCGATTCTTTTCAGCAATTGTCCATTTTTCATGTGCTAGCTTGTGTAACAAACTTGATTGATGTTTATTAAACTTTTCAATGCCTTTTTTCCAGTTATTAAAACCAGTGATCGTAAATATTTCATCAGATTTCACTGGATCATAAGCAAATCGACAAAAAAAGCAGTATGCTTTATTATTGGTAATGCTATATTCAAGCCATGGATAGCTTTTGAACCATTTGTGACAAAAATGCCGCTTTTCAATAGTTGGATAATTGTATTTTGGTTGATGCGGTCCAAGTGAAACAAACTCCTTTGCGAACGTTGGACCACGTGATGGATCCCGTTGAACAAATTCGACAGATATCATACCACCACTATTCGCTGCACGTGAATATTCAAGAGTTGATGCACCATTGACAGTATCACTATTAGTATCAGTTACTGTTTGTATTATCAGTGTTGGTGCTGAAGACGTAGAAGAAGATGCTCGTGTTGAAGAATTGTTCGAATTTAATACTTCATCAGCCGAATATTCATTTATGGTTGATTGAATCGATTCACATAAACTCTCTTGTGCAGCATGAACATTGGCTTTTCTTTTCATAAAGTAAAAGGCCAGTGTACCTCTTTCAGACATATCACAAAAGTTCGATTAATATTATTTGAGAAAAAATTATGATTATGTATATGATTGAATGATACAAGAATTTAACAAATTAACAAAACGCGCGCTTCTAATGGCTCACAAAAACATCCAATAAGAAAAATTCTTCTGTGTATTTGTATAGATGGAGGCATAATCGCGCAGAAAACATTTGTAACACTAGGGGCAATAAAGTTTTATTGCCCTTTGAAAATTTTTTTCAGGGGGGAGGGGGAAATTGCCTCCCTCGCCCCCCCCCCTCTGGCCCGCCGATGGCTGTTATCAAAATCCTAGTAGAAAACCCGATTTTCTGGGACCATCGATTTTAGCCGTGTTTTTCGATTTTTGGCTTGAAGATCAGTTTTTATGTAAATGAATTATACATATTCAGATTCTGCGCATCGAACTGCATCGGATCATATTAAAAAATCAGGAAAAAAATTTTGCTCGAATTTTGCATTGCGCCAATCTTACAACTATCTTATCTTTTATAATGTTCATTCTCTCCGTCAATTTACTGAACTTTGACTGCAAATGGATAGAACGTCATAGTCATGGATTGAAACTATCAGATTTTAAGTTAGAACAAGCTTTGATTAGATTCTGTTTTATTACATACTTCTGTCATATTGAATCGAAGGAAAATTGAGTCTAAGTAACAAAATTAACGGGAACTGATTCTATAGCTTGAAGTTCTGTTTCGATTCTTTGACTAGGAACTAGCACCGCATGACAGTTCATCTGAACTTGAACTAATTCATATGGCTAGTTATTTTGAAATAGAACTGATCGATAGTCAGTTCTTTTGAACTAGAACTGTTCGACAGTTATAATTCGTTTCAAATAGAACTTTTAATTCTTTACAGTTCTTTTGAACTTCAACTATTTTATAGTTACAGCTTACAGTTCATAGGAACTATTGAACTTGAACTGTCGCAGGTCTAGTTCTGAAAAAATGTGTTTTTGTTCATATTTTCAACAGTAAAATCCATTTATATCTACGGAGGAAAAATTTTTTGAAAAGAGAGACACGTACTTTT